TGCCGAATGGAGCAGGACAGTATTGTGCAAATCTTTTACAAGTCTAAAGAAATCATCAATGCCAACATTACAGGAACGGGCCGCTTTAGTGTCAGCATTGCCTTCTACACCTCCAGCAGCTTCACCCAGCAGATTTACGACTCTCCATATGAAGTGAATCTGAATCAGCAACTGTTTGTTCAAATCAAGCAAACCAGATATGATTCAAGCCTGGATCTCTTCCTGGACACTTGTGTAGCATCTCCAAATATCAATGACTTTAAAAACCGCTCCTACGACCTGCTGCGTAAAGGGTGATTCTTTTAAACATTTTATCATTGGCCTACAGTATGTGGCATAGGAATCATACAAAAATGTGTTTTTAATCATTTGCACTAATGGTCAAAACAGTTTAATAACTGGGGCTAGTTTTACTGTTTTTCAAACTGAATATTTCTCTTCTTTTGTTTGTGTAGATGTCCAAGAGACAGCACATTTCAATCCTATATCACTGGCGTGGATCAAAATGCTCGGTTCAGTTTCCGGGCTTTTAAGTTCCTCCAGACTCATGCCTTTGTGTACCTGCAGTGTAAGGTGATCATCTGCCCTGACAATGATTACAACTCTCGCTGCCATAAAGGTTGCCAATATCGGCGCAAGAGATCCCTTGACAGCTCCTACAACACCAGTACTGTGACGCTGGGCCCGATCAAACTTAGAGGTCAGAGGCCAGTAGCAGGTATGACTTCTAATGTTTTTACCAGTCAGGTTTTATGCATTAAAACTCTCCCTCCTAATGACATTTGCTGTCTTTTAGGGCATGGTGTGAAGGAATCTGAGAAGTTGAAGGAGTGAACAAATTATCTTCTCAGTCATCAACCAAATCTAACTGTTACCTGAATGACTGTGCATTATTTTTTGGAGTGGAATAATGTATTATGGAAAAGTCTATATCACTGTTTTTCGGTCTTAATTTTGTAAACAGTTTTTATTTGAGTTGCTTCTCTCTAGCTAGACGGCCAGACAAGAAGCTAAGTTTCCTGTTTTTTGCTTCCTGATGTTAAAACTATGTTCCTTTTTCATACCACTTTGTATAAAATAGCATATTAATGATGAAGCTATCAATCTAAGCTGCCTTTCATGGAATTATTACTATTATAGCCATTGGCTGAAGATGCTAATAAATAAGCTATACTTTGAATAAATATTGTGCAATCCGGGAACTCTATGCAGATGTCTCTAAATTGTTTAGTGTTTTTTTTTTTTTTTGTAATTCAATAAAGCATTTCTAAGTGAAGTTTCATAAACTAATTTCGAGAGGAGCACGTGATATGATTGTGCACCGCTGGCCACTCATCCGTAATCAGTAATAATCCAATCAGAATGATCCTAGCTTAGTATAAATGGATCACTTTCTCCCCATTGCACTATATCTTCATTTTGGAAGAATCCCCCCTTCCACCCCATCTCCTCCTTTTTCTCCCCTTCTAAAGGGGGAGTGATCGAGACCTACCTGATCTCGGTTCTCCTGATATGCTTCTAGACCGGGCGGGAGCTCAAATATCTCCGAGCTCAGGGTTCTCTCCCGGGACAGCATGCCAAACCTGCTATAAGTGCCAAGCATATCTAAGTGGGAACTCTTGAAACAGCAGTTGTTGCCACTTATGTACATTTACTTGTATTTCATTTACTGTGCTCATACAGACTCTCAAACGAAACAAGGTAAATCAAAGTCTGAAAGTCAATGACAAACCAGACATTGCTTTGGAAGGCTTGGATTTAAATTTTACAGACAACATAAAAAAGACTTTTTTAAAATAATTGCATTCTTAAAAAATATTTTGTCATAAACACTTTATTATTTCCTATTTTTATGAAAGCCTTCATTACTTATCAAGACAAAAATGTTGCTAAATAAATACAAATGCACCTATAGGAATTTTTTAATGAACAATCCCAATTGGTGTGACAACTTAAATGCACAATATATGTTAATGAAAAGTATTAATAACTACTGATACAATAAAGCAGTTAAGAATGACTCAGACTGTCCAAAGTTGGTAATCAAATTGACCAAATGGTGGGCCAACTGGTTGACTACAGCTGCATTCTTGCCATGTCAAACCAAACTTTTAAGATGTCACCATACAACATTCGAGCTGTTCACATCATCAGACCTTATAATGCAACACTAAAATTAAACACTACCAACACCTAAACATAAGCTGCATCTCAATTCAGGGGCTCATCCTTTAATTTACAGTTTTACAAATGACAGTTTTGAGTTCTAAGAGGATGTGAGCACTTGAGCACTGATGTGAGCACTGTTACAGATCATTTCCTTCAGCTTAGTCCCTGATTTATCAAGGGTCACCACAGCGGAATGAACCACAACCTATTCCAGGGTATATTTTAAGCACTGGATGCCCTTCCAGCCTACACACTCTCTTAATCACACACACACACTCATATACTACGGACAATTTAGTTTATTTAATTCACCTATAGTGCATGTCTTTGGACTTTGGGGGAAACTACCCACACGAATATGTGGAAAACATGCAAACTTCACACAGAAAAGCCAACTGACTCAGCAGGAACTCGAACCAGCAACCTTCTTGCTGTGAGACGACAGATAACAGACAAAATTTTAAATGATGTGCTCATAAAAATACACGTTACATACTATGAAAAGCTGAAGACAAATTTATTAGCCATCATGTGAAATTTTAATACTTTTAAAAATATTTCCCAAAGAATTTTTAAATAAAATTTTTAACTTATTTTAATAACTAAATTCTATTAACTAATTTATTTTGTCTGTGAGTCTTTGTCACAATGAGAGTAGAATATATGTTTACTTATTTTGCAAGATACTAAAACTCTACTACTAAATATACTAAAACTTAAAGTGCAAGTTGAAGGTGAAAATATAGGTTATAATCTTAACTAAGCTGGTTAGGATAATTAGGCAAGTTATTGGATAACAGTGGTTTGTTCTGCAGACAAAAGCAAAACAAAAACAATTATTTATTCATTGGGGCTAATAATATTGATCTAAAACTAAATTTATTCCAGCCAAATTAAAAGAAATAATCTGGACTTTCTACAGATGAAAAAAAAAATGCTGTGAAAATTTCCTTTGTCTGTTAAACATCAAATGGGAAATATTTGAAAAATAATCAAAATTTCACAGGAGTGCTAATCATTTAATTAGCACCAGCCCAATCTGAGTCGTCCAATCACTTAAAACTGCTACAATATAGCTTTGAATGGTGTGGAAATTAAATAAAGCTGCAAGTTGACTTATAATTTTTTACAAAAATTGTATAATCTTACAATGTTTTACTAACAAAAGCTAAATGAAATTAGCATGACTTGGATTAATTTGCTCATTTCTTTATTAAGAATGCATTGCTAAAGGATGTGGCAACATTTTAAGATGCAAATAAGTATACATTCTTTAAAAACATGATTACAAAATAATTTATACTCAGATGAAAAACAAACCATTGGTAGACTGGTCTGCTGGATTGATGTCCTTTTAAAAATTAATTCTTCAAAAAGATAAAATCTAATTAGTTTTGATATTCGCTTAAATTTTTTGTTTGGACAGTTATAGCTAATATCGGTGACACTTGACAATAAGCATACTCTATTAATATATTTACTTACATAAACTAATAATGAACAATACTTATACAACATGTATTAATTATAGTTCAACATTTACTAATGCATTAATAAAATCCAAATTCATGCTTGTTAACATTAGTTAATGCACTGGGAATAACTAACAATGAACACCTTTGTTTCCATTAACTAACCATAGCAAACATGAATATATACTGTTATAAATGTATAGGTTATTGATTGTAGTAAAACATTAAAGTCACACTTTACAATAAGGTTCATTAGTTAATGTTAATTAATGCAGATTAAAGATGAACAAACAATAAACAATACATTTACTATTGTATTTGGTCATGTTAGTTAACGTTAGTTAATGAAAATACAGTAGTTCATTGTAAATTCATGTTAACTCACGTGCATTAACTAATGTTAACAAGCATGAACTTGAATGTTAATAATGCATTAGTAAATGTTCAATTATGATTAATAAATGCTGTACATGTTATGTTCATGATTAGTTCATGTTAGTAAATGCATTAACTAATGAACCTTACTGTAAAGTGTTACCAACAATAACATCAACTAACACAACTTTTTTGTAAAATGTTACCCTAATATCCTTATGACCAATCTGGCCAGAAATGATGTAATAATCAACACAGGTGAATGTTGTATTGCTTTATGGATAGTGTAATTGTGTTGACACAAAGGTTGTCGTGTGAGCCGAGACAGCAGTTCAGATGATCTGAATGATGCTCATTTTTATGATGAAAAAATATATAATAATAAAAATAGCAGTTAAAATATCCCGGACGAGCCCCCACTTTATAGTATGACTTCTCTTTAAGATGGCTCATTTAAAAACAGACAAAAAGCAACATAAATAAAGTGTTATAAACATTTTAAATCGATTTATTTTTACCCAACACATAATGGCGGCATGTGCTAATGCTTCAGTAGTGCTCTGACAGTTTAAAACACATACATATTTGCACATTTTCAATACTCTGAAATATAATAATGAACCTGGAGATACTTTTTATATCTATTGTCACACTTGCTGCATTTTCTTTTGTCTCATACATTCATTTTATATTACTGTAACCATGTAAATACGTTTTTCTAATTTAATGTTTATTATTTTGACTTCAACTCTGTGTACAATATGACTTAACTAATATGATCATAATTCCATAATCTCAAACTTTGTGTCAATAGTAATATCTAAAAGTAATAATAAAAGTTGCATAATGTTCAGCTGTGTTATTTCCACGGTTATGCTCCTCTGTAACTTATTGCCAGCATTTGCTCCAGGATATTGATATGTTATGATGAAACCTCCCTTCTGGTTTGACTATATAAATAATGGTTGAAATTCGATTTGGACTAAGAAATAAGAAATATGAAATATGGAAGCTCTCACTCTCCTTCTTTGTTTGCTTCTAACTACTAAGGCCTCTCTGGGTAAGAATCTAATTGTCTGTCTGTCTGTCTGAACAATTTTATACATATTGTATTGTCTTGTTGCCCTCTTGTTTTTCCATCACATTCAGAACCGTGTGGAGGATCCTTGAGTAGCTGGATGGGTGAATTTACTAGCCCCAATTACCCTAATAGTTACCCTGATAAAGCACGGTGCACATGGACCATTCACAGCACAGGGGCGGCAACTGTGTCACTGACCTTCACAGATGTTTTGTAAGAAACAATTATTAATTATAATTATTTTTTCTTTATTATTTTGTTTGTGTGTATCTATGCCAAAACAATTTTATATTGCATTTTTCTGTCTGATTGAGATAATACTAAAAGTGTGTAACTTTTTTTTCTCATTGAAATATCTAGATTAGAATAGCTTGATAATCTGGTTCTCTTTCCCTCAATCCCAACCTTTCTGCTTAATTTATCTCTTGGCTCTCTGTCTACTGGACAGACTCCCCCAGGGTTTAGTTTAAGGCCCAGTTTACATTTACGACAGTTTGGTATTTTTTTATTTAGGTATTTTTTCTCTTGGAATCATAAGATCATTCAGGCTTTATTAGTTTTTGTAAGTGATTCTCAGATATATATTCTGTCAAGCACTTATAAATATATAGTGCAACATAGGACAGTATTTACATATATACTTTATGGACCCCTGAAGCACTTTTGGTTTGATTTTGGATTTCTACCACATTTAATAAGTTTTAAGTGTAGAATTTAGCAGCTATGATCCTGATTAGAGATCAGGGTAACTGAGCTCAACATTGCTTTTTGTTTTAGTCTGGAATCATGCTGCGATTACATCAGAGTGTACAATGGTCCTTCTACCCTCTACCCTTTACTGGGAGAACTAGTGGACGAGAAGAGCAAAAGCTACAACTCCAGTGGCAATGATCTGACCGTGCTTTTCTTTAGTGATGACGAAATATCCAGAAGAGGATTTCATGCAAACTGGGTTTTTTTAGGTAGGTGATTAAGGAAAATGAACTGAATAGCATATTCAAAACAACAACATAACAAATCTTTGTTTTCTGCATTCAGCAGCTAGTTGCTGAGCGAATGATTAAGAGTGAATGAGCTGCTTTGTTTTATGAATTCGAAACATAAATTTTGGTCTGTGTAGATCAGAGGTGCCCAAACTCGAACCTAGAGGGCCGGTGTCCAGCAGATTTTAGCTCCAATTTGCCTTAAAACTTGGTTGATTTCTTTAAAACATGGATATTTCTATAGAAAGCCTAAGATTAGCTAGTCCAGGTGTGTCTGATTGGGGTTGTAACTAAACTTTGCAGGACACCAGCAATCCAGGACTAAGTTTGGACACCCCTGGTGTAGATGACTCAATATTTTAATTAAAAAACTTAAGTTAAAGTTATAAATACGTCGAAAATATGAAGTCCGGTTCATGAAAAATTTACTCACGCTTTTTAGTCGCTTTTTATGTGAGAAAAAAAAAAAAAAAAAAATATATATATATATATATATATATATATATATATATATATATATATATATATATATATATATATATATATATAGAACAAAATGTGTTGCCTGATTTAAAAATGAATAATTCAGATTTCAGATGAACTTTTTATGATCCATATGATATTTAAAAACAAATACAAAAATTTGAAACATAAAAATACAGCATAAGCTGATCAATCTTATTTCAGAATATATGATTTGTGTGAACCACTTCTTTGTAGATACATCTTACCTTGAGTATCTGAATATTTATGGCTTAGATCATTATAATTAAATTCCTTTATTTTAATTCCTGAATTTTTCTAATTCATTTATGATCAAAATTAGCTTATCATTTAGTAATAGAATATGTTTTTTTTTTCATTCTCAGAAGAATAAATTAATACAAATCACAGCAGGCTGATGAGATATTTTCCTTATTATCCTTAGATTCTAATTCATGCAGAAACTACTGTGGATTCAGCTTTGGCACTTGTTCATGTGACGACTCCTGTCAGGATAATAGAAACTGTTGCTTTGACTACAACAGTGAGTTCCTCTTCATCAGATCATCAATCACAAATCTTTCTCATACTGAGTTTTTAAACACAGAGAAAAAAAGATTTACTGATGCTAGAAGTTTAGATTTACAGTGTGCAACAATTCTATCTCTTCCTTTTATACAGGCTACTGCTTCCAAACAACAACATGGCCAACCACAACAGGTTCAGCTATATCAGATTAAAAAAACACTACTGGGTGTTGAGGGAGTCTGATGTCCATGTAGTCATTCACCAGACATATATTAATGGCTTTACAATTAATGTTTGTAATATTTGTACATTTAAAATTTGCTCTTCTAGATATCCCCTCCTGCATGTATAACTGTGGATACAACCCCGGCAGCTGTTCATGTACTGACTTCTGTCAGCGTGATGGCAACTGTTGCCCTGACTATGAAGGTAAGATCTTCTTGATCAGATAGACATTTAAATATCAAATACTACAAACAAATCTACTGTCGTGAAGGCGTAGAATAGATCATTGCATTTCTTGTGCAGTACTTTTGTTCCTTCTTCAGTTTTATATCTTCTGTTTATACAGCCTACTGTTCAGAAACAACAACAACAACAGCTTTTGAACCAGATACAACAGGTACTGATACTATATTTGTATTGAACTGACAATTTCTATAATCGCAGAAATGATTCCAGCTTTTCCATTCTAACATTATAGACTACTCAGTAAAGTTACCAACAATATGTAAATAGTGATGTTTGCTCTAATTATAGTTCGCTCCTGCATGTACACATTTGGATATGACTTTGGCTATATCTAATAGCAAAACATCAAAAAACAAAAAAAATTGGCAGAAATTATTCAAGTTTTGCTTTTCTGTAATACATATAGACTAATTAGTAAAGTGGACCAATAGTGTGTACATCAGTGGTTCTCTGGTTTGAACTTGAGACCCACATTAAAATAAGGTAAAAATGAATAAAGTATTCTGTACTCAGCGTAGGCTTATAAGTGTATTTTGACCTGGCAAGCTATCACACCAAGGGATGGGAAGATTTCCTGATTCACTCAGTGCATCAGTAAAAAATTTACGATATAATGCATTGGTTTAAAAAGTGTACATCGGATACAAGTTGATGTTTAAATCAAGATTCATCCTGCCAAACATATTTGCATGAGTTAAAACCAATTCATGCGCTATAAAAACTTGTATCAGAGCTGCAGCAAGGGTTTGTTAGTGGTGGTTGTGGTTCATTGGAGAGTGCACTGCAATGACAGATGCCACGGGAGCGCAAGCTTAGAAGCACATTGATTAAAAAAATCTTAGCCTAACAATTAAATTATCAAAAAAGCAATCATATTGCATCTAATTGCATTGTGTTCAATCGCATCAAATTGATAATAAAATGAACTACATTGAGATGGGGCAAATTGTATCGTCAACTATTTCATGTGTATCTTTAATGCATCGTATTGTTGGCTATGCATCACAATGTGCATTGTATCAGCCTCCATTCTGGGATGAATGCTCTGTCATTGTATCAGATTTGTGCTCCTCGCTGCCACCACCACTGAAACCATTCATGTTTATTGCTACTTTTTTTCTTGCAACTGTCGCTTACCTTCAGACATGGCCTTTAGGAAAATGTGCTTCTGACACACATGAAACAGATCTGTCAGAAGCAACAACAGCTTTCACACACACCTTTCAAAATTTAAATAATATTTGTAATACTTGCACTTCTACAGAAATCCTTTCTTGCATGTATAATTGTGGATACAACCTCGGCGGCTGCTCATGTACCGAATTCTGTCGGAGTTATGGCAACTGTTGCCCTGACTATGAAGGTAAGTTTTTCTTGATCAGACAGACATTTAAATATCAAATACTATAAACAAATGTACAGTCGTGAGAGCATAGATCATTGCATTTCTTGTGCAGTACTTTTGTTCCTTCTTCAGTTTTATATCTTCTGTTTATACAGCCTACTGTTCAGAAACAACAACAACAACTTTTGAACCAGATACAACAGGTACTGATCCCATATATTTATATTTTACTGACACAAAAGAACTTATTTGAAGGCAGATGTGATTCCAGCTTTGACCTTCTAACAATAAACATACTAATCTGTAAAGAGGCTTAATAATATGTACATCACGCACATACTGATGCCTTTATTCTCTATAGCTCATTCCTGCATGTACAACTGTGGATATGACTTGGGCAGCTGCTCCTGCGCCAGAGACTGTCATTACTATGACATCTGCTGTCCAGACTATGACAGTGAGTCCCTATTCATCAGGCAGATTTAACTATGAATGGTTTATTGAAAAATGATTACATTGCTTTTTTCTTATTTGCATAGCTTTATTTTTGTGTGCTGCTTATTCTTTAATTGTCCGTCCTCATTCAGTTTGGTCTTCTCTCTTTTATTCAGGCCATTGTCCATCGTACACAACACTGAGAGACTCAACGACAGGTACTGCTGTCACTAGTTTAGTAGTGTCTGTTTGATCCTGAATACATGTCATCTGCATCTTTTAAGATTTAAAACATTCTTTTAAGAATTACATTATACAGAATCTCACCCTAAGTGTGGAGGACATCTGTATGGTGCTGGGTTGTTTTCCACTCCAAACTACCCAAGCTATTATCATGACAACGCCTACTGTGTGTGGTATCTTTCTGCTCAGCAAGGACAGAGGATCTTCTTGACATTTGCTGATGTGCAGTAAGTGGTGACAGATACAGTGCTGGTGGGATTATTCTTCTTAAACTGTCACTTGCCAACACAGATATAGGTTAATGCTGTAATTGATCATAGGGACCCTCTATTTGACTGGGAGAGTAATGATAATGTCTATTTTCATCAGTTACATATAATAATAGTAACAACCTTTATTTAACCAGGTAAATCAATTGAGAACCAGTTCTTTTTTTAGATGACGACCTGGCCAAGAAACGACATAAAAAGCAGATATGAACACAATACAATAACAATTTCACAAATTCAGAAATTAACATATAAAACCAAACTAAAAACAAGCATAGTAATCTTGTACTATTAACTGAATTGAATTTTTAAAAGATGATAAAAGTGTTGAGCTTTAACGTCTGCTGCAGATGATTCCAAGCATCAGCAGCAGAAAACTGAAAAGAGTAGCGACGAAATGAAGTGCGAACTTTGGGTGTGCAAAGGTTAATAAAACTACCAGATCACAGATTTAGACATTTTCTGAATGTTAAAAAGTGATTTAATATAGTGGAGTTTTCCCAATAAGAATTTTGTAAATAATAAATGTATAACAGAAACTAATGAATGTGTTGAAGTGATTAAAGAGAAGGCCAATTCAATAAAGAATACAATTGACGGTGATGAGTAGTAAATGGCACCAGTAAGTAAACAAATTGCTGCGTGGTAAATAACATGCAGTTCATAAAGGAGAGTTTTTGAAGCTGTAAATTAAATCTCCATTATCCAGAGTTGGTAATACTGTTAATGTGACTAAATGCTGCTTTAAAGAATGTGTAAAAGAAGATTTGTTTCTGTCAAAAACAAAAACAAAAAAAAACCTTTTTGTGCAATTAATTCATGTGAGTTTTAAATAACAGTTTACCATCTAACCAGATATCAAAATATTTGTAGCATAATTAATCTCTGTACCATCCAATGAGAAAATTTTAGGTGGAAACTCAACAAGTGGTAAATTTCTGTTAAAAACCATACATTTTGTTGTATTAGTATTTAAAACTAAATGAAGATTGGTAAAAGTGCGTTGGATGTTATAGTTCGCACAGTGTACATATTCATACATATAGTTCATACAGTACAACTACCGATGGGTGGAACCATTTCCATATGACATCTTCCATTCTAGTAAGGAAAAAAGCTTGACTTGGTTTTTTTAATAAACATTTGGCTGCTTTTGTGTTTTTATTTTGTGTTTATATAATTTCTATATGCCTTTCAAGAATATAGTATTACTTTTTTCTGTCTCAGGTAACATTTTGTGCCTTTTTGTTTCTTTCAGACTGGAGCGCTGCTGTGACTGTGACTACATTACCATTCATGACGGCTCTTCCACTGGTTATCCACAGCTGGGAAATGTCTGCTTCAATGACACCACACATCAGGCATTTCACTCTACTTCACGATACTTGACTGTTGTCTTCAGGAGTGACTTTTCTGGTGTTAGCCATGGGTTCAAGGCCCATTTCACCAGCTCTCTGACTGCAGATCAAGGTAGGATATGAAAATATCTTAAATTAGTTCTATTAAACAACTGTAATATATGCTTTTATTTTTTATTGACTTATTGGGTTGTAATTTTTTCCCAGATTCAAGTAAAATAATTACTAAACAAGCTAGAATAAAACTGAAATGTAAATTCTAAATGTTTTAAACTTTCTTTAAAGTAATAAAGCTTCTTGTATTGCAGGCCGTGTGGATTGTTCCTCCGACAACATGGTCATTGTTCTTCGAAGGTCTTATCTGAACTCACTGGGATTTAGTGGAAACGACCTTTATGTGGATGACCGTCTCTGCAGACCAAACATTAGCAGCACTGAAGTTGTGTTCAGATTCCCCCTCAACACATGTGGAACCGCCAAAAAGGTGTGATCTATGTGTCTCGACAGCTTCTCATCAGCTTTTAATACTTAAATTTGCTTTGTCAGTTTGATAAATGTGTGCGTTGTTGAGAGCCGTGTTTGCCACACAACATCACCCACTCTCCGTCTCTCTTTCCCTTTAGATGATGAACAGTTTTGTGTCCTACACCAACAATGTGCGGGCATCTCCTTCTCAGTCGGGTGTAATCACTCGTCAGTCAGAGTTTCTCCTGAGTGTGGGCTGCCGAATGGAGCCGGACACTATTGTGCAGATCTTCTACAAGGCCGAAGAAATCCCCAATGGCAACATCACAGGAACGGGCCGCTTCAATGCCAGCATTGCCTTCTACACCTCCAGAAAGTTCAACCAGCAGATTTACGACTCTCCATATGAAGTGTACCTGAATGACGATCTGTTTGTTCAAGTCAAGCTAACCAGATTTGATGCAAGCCTGGATCTCTTCTTGGAGACTTGCGTAGCATCTCCAAATCCAAATGACTTTAAAGATTATTCCTATGACCTGCTGCGTAATGGGTGAGTCTTGTTCATTCTCAACTGTTACTCCACCAAATATGTTGTCATAGGTGTAGGGAATCATTTGAAATATTTGTACTCATTTGCAGTAATGTTGAAAAAACTGTTGCTCAAACTAAATTTCTCTTCTTTTGTTTGTGTAGATGTCCCAGAGACAGCACATTTCAATCCTATATCAATGGCGTGGATCAATATGCTCAGTTCAGTTTCCGGGCTTTCAAGTTCCTCCAGACTCATGCCTATGTGCACCTGCAGTGTCAGGTGATCATCTGCCCTGATAATGATTACAACTCTCGCTGCCGTAAAGGTTGCCAATACCGGCGCAAGAGATCCCTTGACAGCTCCTACAACACCAGTACTGTGACGCTGGGCCCGATCAAACTCAGAGGTTAGAGGTCTTACCTGAGTCTTGCTAATTTAAAGCAATTATTCTGGCAATGTTTAATCACACGTTGTTTGAAACCCATACTGTCTTAATGGAAAACAAAAAGCAAATTCAGAAGACTTTAGGATAGACAATAATGATGGTAAACAATATAAAATCTCATTCTCAGGTCATCTGATATGTGGATGACTTTTTTTCTCCAGTGGAACAATAAAGACAATTTTTAAGCTAAAACTATGATCCATGGTGATGCATAAAAAGGAGATGTGACTACCAAAAATGGTTCCTTTGGACAGTATTTTTAAATAAGCTGAAAAAAGCATAATCCTGCAATGTGTGGGCAATTGTATTATTAGAACAGTAGAAACAGAAATAGTTTTTCTTTATATATATATATATATATATATATATATATATATATATATATATATATATATATATATATATATATATATATATATATATATAAGCTGAAAAAACTAGTCTGTACATGAGTAAATAATATTTATTATAATAAATCTGCACTTACCTTACAACATTTTAATGTTATTGAATGTAATCATTGTTTGGTAGTTCATACATAAACATACATAAACTTTATCTGTTCAAATCTGAATCTGATCACCATCTTTTTATTCGTGTACTGTGCAGGTCAGTGATCAGACAGCTGTTCAGACAACAAGAGAAGATTAAGGCAGCAGAGTGGTTTTTATCATCATCAGCAACTTTATTTCTCATCTCTATGATTAATTAGACCACATCATCCTACCTAATGATGTACCTTCTTTAATTCATTAAAGCAATCCTTCTTCCAAAGCACTTCTTTGTCAAAGTACATTGATTCTGTCATTTTCAGTGAAATTATGATATTTTGATTTTGCCATTACTTAAAGTCACTTCGGACTAAGTAATATTTACTAAAAGCACCCATTTTTTTTGTGTGTAGACATTGTACTAGTACAGGGAAACAAACAAACACACTCATTCACAAGCACACTCGGCCAATTTAGTTCATTCAATTCACCTATAGCACATGTCTTTGTACTGTGGGAGAAACCGGAGCACCTGGAGGAAACTCACACAAACATGGGGAGAACATGCAAACTCCACATAAATGCCAACTGACCAAACCAGGGTTCGAACTAGCGACCTTCTTGCTGTGAGATGACAGTGCTAACCACTGAGCCACCGTGCCACCCAAGTCTAATAAAAATGTATGATCTAAAATTTTCTTCATTGCTTAAGTCTAAAGGGCTAAGCAAAATGTTTTGTTCAAGTAGGTTAGCAAACAACACAATTTCAATAAAGTTGACATCAATTGCCATGTTATCAGAATTTAAAAAATAGGTTTAAAAAATATTTTAAAATATTTATTGCTATAGTTATTTAAATATCTGCTGAAAAAAGCACTATTGCATTTTTTACATTAGCTAAATAAAGTTAAATAAAGAGTCCTTGAAGAGCCCTTTAAAGGGTTGTCAATTTAATGAGGTGATTTTAACAGTATTTATGTAGCTGTATTGATTAGTGTAATACTAATCTGAATATAATCAGTTAAATAGACTTAAGTATTCATCTTGGTAACTATAAAACAAGGAGAAAAAATATTTAGCTGAGAACCAAGAACTGCTTGATACTGTACATTGATAGTAAATACTGTATTCATATTTTAAAGATTTGATGCAGTGCTTCTTATGGAGTTTTATAAAAGGGAATTTCAGTTGTTTAGTAAAATTATGTCCTTGATGTCATAATACAATACGCATTTTGTTCTAAACAAACTCGCATCCCAAACATGACGAGCAAAGTCTCGAAAGAAAATCTCGAGATTTTAAAGTGGAAGCCCTTATCTGTGAATGTTTCAAGACTTCTTATTTGTTTGCTGTTTTGGGTAAATGAACAACAAACAGTAGTAAACCGTTAAATTTGCTCTAAACCAGTGCATTTACAAAAGTATATTAACAAAAAAATATATAAGTAAATACTAATTTGTAACATCTTGCAGCATAACAAGCTGTTTTGCATGGCTAAAAATAAGGAAGTAAATGAGACTGCAAGACTTGACACATTTAAAATGAGTAAAATAAGTAAGGTGGATTAGAATATTTTTTCTCATAGAAAAACCATTACAAAAAAAAACTTTTTTTAAAAAAAATCTCAAAGGAACCATAAAACAGTGAAAGTATTTTCTGGGTTCTGATATAATGTGCCCCAGAATAACATAAAATACTATCGCATGAAAAAATAATTAATTGGATGAAAAGATTGAAAATCACAACATGTGCAGGCTGGTTTGTGCCTTGGGGTTGTGACTAAGTAGGCTGGTCTGAATGGAATACAGGTGTGTGTTTGTTTAAACTGAAAGTAAAAGTGAATGAAGTTGCAGTATTTTAGTAAGACTGCATGTTTAACTCTACAAACAGAACCAGTACAGTGAGAATTTGGTGAGTATATCAAGCGGAATTTAAGCTGCTTTATGGATTTTAATGGCCTACCGTTTCATTTCATTTACACAAGAAAGGTTTTTTAAGAAAACTATATTGGACAAAATGTTTGTATTTTGATTTAAGGGTGTGTCCTAAGAAACATTTGATCAAAATCAAAAAAGATGGATAAACAAATGTGTTTTACAACATTTATTTTACAAAGCTAAACAAAATGTGCTGGAAATACAAGAATGCGTATCTGTGTTGGATATGGATCATGTGCAATAAGTTGTTGTATCAAAATTGCTTTGTCTGCCTTGTCATTATATTCCACTATACTATTTTATGTTTATTTTGGAAATGTTACCATACGAAGAAATGGGCAACTTAACAGCCAAACCTGGTAAGTATTTCATTTAATTCAAAATCAATAATATATGTAGTCAAATTTCTATTCCCTTAAAAATATTTTCCCAAATGTTTAACAGAGCAAGGATTTTTTTTCACAGTAGTTCCTAATATTCATATATTTTTCTATTTTTTCTTATTTTTACTTTCTTTTAGTTTGGATTGAATAAAGCAGTTTCTTTATTTAGAAAATGTTTTTAAAACAATATTATTTGCTCCTTTAGAAAGATATTTTTCAATTGTCTACAGAACAAATCACTGTTATCCAATGACTTGCCTATTTAACATATTAGTTAAGCTTTTAAATTATCCAGCAAAATAACCAGTAAACTAATATCTACTGTTATCAGGGCAAAATGTGTTACAAATGTGTTGAAAAAAATCATTTCTCTGTTAAGCTACACTTGGGAAATATTTTTAAAAGAATTAAAGGGGTGGTCCAGAATGTAATTTTTAAGGCTTGGTTGTGTTAATAAGATGCAAAGCAATGTGTGCTCATGTTTCACTTGAAGGAAATCGTGTAATTTTTTCATATATCTCACTTTGATTATACGCAGCTTCTCAGCTAACATGAAAACGACTGTCATATTTCATAGTCCCTCTAAAAGGCCCGCCCTCAAGTGACTCTGATTGGTTATCATCATAATGTGCTGTGATTCGCCGATCGGCTCTACGTCACGCCAGGAAGTGAATACTATGAAGTATCTGTAACACGAGAAGCGCATGTGCACGGAGTGATGTTTATTACTCTTTTTCTCTCATGCTCAGATTAAGTTATTTTCTGTGGTGACAGAATAAAGCACAAGATGTGAGATGAGACCTGTGTGAGCCTGGATTGATTTGTTTTTGATGTTACACTCCAGTTGGGAAAGCATTGCTGTATTTTTTTAACCAACGCATCACAGGACGTCTTTCACGCATATCCGGAATATACCTGTGTAAATAAGATGAATCGTTCACATATCTTTTGCGACTTTATTGTCTGAGTTGTAAAACGCATGGAAAAGCAGCCCTGTGTAGAGAAACATTGCCATCTCATACAGAGAGATGCAGGTGCTGTTCAAGAGTGTGTGTATGTATGTGTGTGTGTTTACAGCCGTTTGACTGATAAATATAGATTTGTAGCTAAAATGTTAGCGGTGAACAGAATTTCCCATTGTTTACATCTTTGTTACAACATACCATTAACACTGTACATGTCATGATCAATTTTAACAAATAAAAACACTTACAGGTCATGGCTCACAGAGTTCACAGCGTCTCCTTGCTCCATCTTTGAGGAGATTTTAGCCGAATCCAGCACTGAACTGGGAGAGATTCTGGAGCTGTTTTGTCAAATCATGCTTGCTATGTATTTTATAGTTCTCTGGAACATAATCAATATTGAACTGTAAGCACTTCTATGTTTGGGTCGTGTCATTTGGAAGCCCAAATACAGAAACAGAGAAGCTCTGTGAAAACAGCAGGATGGCATTTCTCCCTATGCAGTAACGTTACAGCGCCTCTGGCCACGGCCTTTACCTGCGCAGTGTAGGATGCGCAATAATGAACTTTTGTGATCTCACAGGGGGCGGAAGTATTTTTTGTAGTCCCCAAAATTGATTCATTGTAGGCTTTGCTAAGCTAACTCTGTAAAAACCAAGGTCTCCCTTTGTATTGAACTTTGAGCATTTTACATTCAGAAATGCTGTTGTTCACACAGCTACATTACACATCAACTAAAGTTTAAAATATAATATCGTAGTGGACCACCCCTTTAAAACCTCACAGGAGGGCTAATAAATTTGACTTCAACTGTGTATATAATTTTATATCAGCTTAAGATGTAAAACATTTTATGCTAAAAAAGAAACAACCATCTCTTGCAGAATGGGAAAACCCATGGAGAAACACTGAATGGGGGTTAGTTTAGCTCTATACACTTTTAATAATAGTTTACTTACACAGTAAAATTATTCTAACAGAAACTGAATTTTATATTTTTAAGGAAGGCCAAAAAAGACTCTTTAATAAAAAGCATTAAAGAGATGAAACCAAGCAGAACAGATCTGAAATGCTTGGGGGTGTTAGTTGTTGGTCCCTGTGGTTCAGGAAAATCCAGTTTTATAAACTCTGTTAATAACGCCTTCAAAGGACGAATAACCAGCAGTGCACTGAGTGACAGGATTGGTGGAAAAAGCTTCACAGTTGAAGTATGTCCCCCCTTCCCATTTTTTTATGATTTACACATTTTTAACAATACATTTTCACCTAATTTTAAATGTGTGCTTGTTTTAATTGTCATGTATTATGTGTTGTCAATGCAGTACAAATCATTCGAAATTGAATCTGGAAATTCAAGTTTGCCGGTCGTCTTTAATGATGTCATGGGCCTGGAGACAGGACCTATGCAAGGCTGCCCAGTGGAGGACATCATTAAAGCCATTAATGGCCACGTTCGACATGGTCATGTGGTAAAAAAACAATAACAAAAAAAGCTTTAAAATACCCTCTTTAACCATATTTTTTACTGGTGTCAGAATGGTCTGTCTTTATCAGTTTAATCCAGAAAAACCACTGTCTCCAGGGGATGGAACATTTAATGAAGCACCGAAAGTCTCAGACCAGGCATTCTGTCTAGTGTATGTTTTAGCAGCTGACAGAATCCAGTTTGCAGACGAAAATGTCTTACAAAAGATGAGAGAAATTCGATTGCAAGTCAGAAATCTTGGTAAGACTAAATAATTTTTTTTTGATGTCGTGTAAAATAATTTTGCAGAGAAAACTGGGTTTTCAAGCATCAAAACAATAAAAAGCCTTAAAAGTTTTGTTTTTCAGATATTAAAATGTGTTCTGTTTAATAGTTTCTTTAAAATAAAGAAAATGATTAGCATGATTTTTTACTAAAGACGCTGATTTAAAGAAAACATCCAATGTCATACCAAAAAATCTTTCAAGAGTTCGCACTTAGATATTGCTTGATATTAGCAGGTTTGGCATGCTGTCCTGTGACAGAACCCTGAGCTCAGAGATAGTTGAGCCCAGAGCTCCTGCCTGGTCAAAGAGCATAGGGGGTATGAGATCAGGTAGTTCTCGAAAGCTCCCCTAAGTAAATGAGGAAAAGGGGGAGATTGGGGATTCTTCAAAAAACGAAGATGAAGTGAGGTGAAACGAGCTATTTATAGTAAATTTGGAATAATCTGACTAGATTATTACTGATTGCAGATGAAAAACCAGCAATCATCAATCACATCATGTGCTCCTCTGAGATTGTGAAACTTCACTTAGATTCATTTATCTGATGACATTGAAAACTAACAATCACCGTTTAGCCTCCAAAAAGTTAATTTTTTAGGCGGCCTATATTGTTGCACTTTAACACAATAAAACATCATTTGACCCTTATTTCACAAAACATAATTGAAAGATTAACCAGACATTTTACATGTAAATAAAGTTTACTGCATTTAATGTTCTCCAACAATATTTCCAATATAAAGTATGAGTAAAAGTCATCTATAGGATGTATTATAACTATGTCATTATTACCATATAGAAATAATTTTATATCTAATAACACAGTTCTATATATTATTGACCGTAAATATAACATGCCTGTCGGCTGGCCTTGGAACACCTCGGGATCCCCCTGGGGAGAGAGAAGTCTGTGGTTCTCTCCTAAGACTGCTGCCCCCACGACCCGGCCCAGGAAAAGCAGTTGAAATGAATGAATGAATTTTAACACTACTAGATCCATTTAAGCTTTGCCCTTTTTTTATTTTAAAACAATCTTGTGAACTACCAGTGCGTTTAAAGAACTTAATTTAAAAGCTATTTAAAACAACATATAAAGAGTTTATCTTTAGAATAAGTTTTAAAATGTCTTAAATCAATCAGAAATATGTAAAAAATAAAAAATGCAAGTATTGTGTAAATTTAGAATACCTGCTCTTCTGTACATTTTACAGGGTTGCCCCAGGTCATTGTCTTGACAAATGTGGATCAAGCTTGTCCACTGGTGAAAAATAATTTAAAGAAAATCTACTACAGCAAAAAAATCAAAGAGAGGGTACATAATTTACTCAAATAATTCCCTAACAAGCTCCACTCTGCATATTCTTCTGATATTAACTTTAATTCTATGCTTTATCCTCACAGATGGAATGGTGCAGTACTGCAGTTGGTGTTCCAATGTGCCACGTTTTTCCTGTGAAAAACTACCATGAGGAAATCGAAACCAGTTGTGACACAGATGTTCTGATTTTACAGGCATTAATGCAGATTATAGAGCTGGCTAATGACAATGTAAAGGAGCGTGCAGCTCAGCAATCTTAGTTTACAGTACTGTAGTGTAACTGACAAAACCTTACCTCATATATTAATCATTTTTTAAAATTATAATTATTAAAATGCACATGACCATATATTTTAAAAATCCCACACTGTTTTAAAATGACCACTGTTACATATAGACAACTTTTAGAAAAGTGTTGCTTTTTAAGAAAGTTACTTTACTGAATATATATTCTGTTAAATAGTATGACAGTAGTTCTTAATGTTGAATTCCTGTTTTTTTTTTTTCCCTCTTTTAATGATATAGACCTAATCAATAGATAATGGACCTAAAAGCATTATAGGGATTTGTAAAGATATTTGACTGGATCTTGTTCTTCTATTTTCTGATTCTGCTTTGTGTTTTATATAATCATGCTTAATATCGGTGGTCATTAATTCATGTATTCAAGCTAATAACTGTTGTTAGGGCACTGTCATTTCCCTGCCTACAATTGCACATGTCAATAAAAAGAATAAAAGTACTAACTGAAATGAAATCTTATTCTGATTTCATTTAAAAGATAACTGAGATTAGTAGCCTATATTAAGAAAAGTAAATTAAATAAGTAAAAACAAATAAAACAAGAATAGTAATATAGTAGATTATGCATGTTATAAATGATTAATAGAAGGTAATTTAAAACACCATCTATACAGCACTTAAATTACAGTTATTTAAGAAACATCATAAAATGTTTCTATTATAGCACCAAAAAGGGTTTTGTTATGTACAAGCTGAAGAACCATAATCAAGTGCTATATATAACCATTTTAGAAACAACAGGGATCATATACAGAAGAGGATGGTTAATACATACAGGAGGTGCTGTCTGATCAAAAAAAATAAAGAAATAAAAATAGTTATGGCAGGAAAAGAAACAGAGAAAAATAGGTCAGTACATAAACAAAAAAGTTAAGAAACTTTGGGTAACTAAAAACAAAGAACTGATTTGGAACCAGGTTCTGGCTCTGAACCAGCACTTAAACTTTCGTATTTGAATAGAGGTAACAGTCATTGAAAAACATTTTATATGGAAAATGCATGACATTACGCCAACAGAGGTCGCATTCGGGCTCAGATCAGACGGTAACGTTTCTTGCAGATAATCAAGACAATTTTTACTTTCTGCACACTTAATATTGCTACCGTTAGCTTCGTCAGAACGGAACATTACATATGCTGATTTGAAACTTTCAATTAACTAGTAAAAATGAAGTGACGTGTGGCCAAATAATATGGTGACCCAAACTTAGAATTTGTGCTCGGCATTTAACCCATTAAAGTACAATGCCCAGGAAGGGACTCACCCCAGCTGTGTTATTGTGGGTGGAGAATAGTGCTATTTACCTCAAGCAGTGCAGCCTGGCGCTAACAAACGGTGGGTTTCATTCCCAGTGAAAAGTTTCAGCCAAATGCATAACTGTAACAATGTAGTGCTAAGGGACAACAGTTTTATGCATAGCAGACCTAAAATACCCAAGAAACATTTTAAATTCTATCAAACAGCTAGAAGGATATTTAGGCATCTCACCAAATGACTGTTGATGTTTGACCTTATACAGTCCTGGGGCCTGTTTCAGTAAGGAGGTTTAAACAACTCAGAGTTTAAACTTGAACTCTGAGTTGATTTACCGAGAGATTAAAAACTCAGAGTTTTCAGTTTCAGAACAGCTGATCTGAGTTGGGTCAATCAACTTCGAGTAGACCAACTCAGAGTTAAGTGCGCACACCATGACTTTAAAAAGGCATTATCAATGGAGCGCAGACATTACGAGTGACTATGGCAACATCTTATAAAAGAGATCACCATTTCTTTCTCCAGCTGAACTTGATGTTCTCATGCAAAGTTATAGCAAATATGAGCGTATATATTTGAAAAGAAGCAACCATAAGTGAAGAAGAGACAGTTAGCGTAGGAAAACAACAGCTCAAGTTAATGCCTAATTTCACTTTTTAAGTATTTAAATATTTAAGTATAATAAAATAAGTAATGTAATTTGTGACGTTTATATATTTTTTTCTAAACTTTTTTATACATTTATTAGTTTTAAATGATTTAACAGTGCACTTGTGTGTCTGCCATTTTTATTGATCAAGTGATAGAGGTTAACATAACATTTAGAAGGTAAGCAGTACTAAAAAATAATTTTTAGAAAGAATAATAATCCCATTAATCTAGTTACAGTGCATGTCGAAGGTGAATTTAATTTAATTATTTATTAAAAAAGGATAAGCCATTCTAGTACAGTTCTTCTGTGTGTGACTAAAATGTAGGCAATAGCTATGTTTCCATCCAAATATATTACATAAATTTATGTGCAAAACTGGAATATTGCATAAAAGATGCGAATAAAATTCCATCCAACGAGTCAAAGAGAAAAAAATGGTCACTTCCTGATTAAACTGGCACCAAATATCAACAGTAAAAACAGAATTTACTGTGGTAGAAGAAGCTGCGTCAATTAATTCTTTATTTAGCCTAATTAATGTACTTGCGCCTGGATGTCAGAAGACAATGCTGAAACACAATGAACACGTGGGGGCGTCTGAAGCCATGAGACGCGGAGACTCTTGACACGCACCAGACGTTCGGAGGTAATTAATAATATACACTAATAATGAAACAGTTAAGGCATTTTAGAATGACTAAAACAATATTTAAGACATGTTACAGTGTGCTCAGCCTGCTGGTTTGTCCATTTACACACATTTTCATTATCATGATCATGATCTTTTTTTTTAATGTACATACTGTAATTTGTTCAGTAAAAGTGTTTCCATCGTAGTTTATGCGCACATTTTCTATCGAATAAAAGTTTATCCTACTCAGTTATGCGCGTTTTTTATGCATATTTTAAAAAGTTATGTGCATCATGACGTTTCTATCAATCGTTTTTATGCACGTATCCAAAATGAGCATTAAAATAGGTGGGTGGAAACGTAAGGCTAAGGCGAGAAATACCGCTTCATCTTAAAAAAAGGGGAGGAGACAGACAGAAACTCTGAGTTTAGAGAACAAAACCTGCTTCTGACCAGGTTAGATTCACAGAGTAAGTTACCACAGTAACTGACTCTGGGTTAAAGTTACCTCTCTTTCAGAAACAGGCTTGACTTACCCTGCTTTCTCGAGTTTGACAAACCTGCCATTTTGAAACGAAAAACCCAGAGTTTCTCTCATTTCAGGGTTAAAATACTCTGAGTTTTCAGTTAACCTCCTTTCTGAAACAGGCCGCTGGACTCCTGGCTTCAACAACTGAGTTTTGTTTCTGTTTGTTACCAAAATGGCGCTGACTTTGACATTAAATACAACGCAAAGGCAAAGTAATATTTATCATTAGGAACTGGTAGGACAGGAAACCTTATTATCCTGGGGCCTGTTTCAGAAAGGAGGTTAACTGAAAACTCAGAGTATTTTAACCCTGAAATGAGAGAAACTCTGGGTTTTCCGTTTCAAAATGGCAGGTTTGTTAAACTCGAGAAAGCAGGGTAAGTCAAGCCTGTTTCTGAAAGAGAGGTAATTTTAACTCAGAGTCAGTTACTGTGGTAACTTACTCTGTGAATCTAACCTGGTCAGAAGCAGGTTTTATTCTCTAAACTCAGAGTTTCTGTCTGTCTCCTCCCCTTTTTTAATGATGAAGCGGTATTTCTCGCCTTAGCCTCACGTTTCCACACACCTATTTTAATGCTCATTTTGGATACGTGCATAAAAACGATTGATAGAAACGTCATGATGCACATAACTTTTTAAAATATGTATAAAAAATGCGCATAACTGAGTAGGATAAACTTTTATTCGATAGAAAATGTGCGCATAAACTACGATGTAAACACTTTTACTAAACAAATTACAGTATGTACATTAAAAAAAAGATCATGATCATATGATAATGAAAATGTGTGTGAATGGACAAACAGCAGGCTGAGCACACTGCAACATGTCTTAAATATTGTGTTAGTCATTCTAAAATGCCTGAACTGTTTCAGTATTAGTGTATATTATTAATTACCTCCGAACGTCTGGTGCGTGTCAAGAGTCTCCGCGTCTCATGGCTTCAGACGCCCCCACGTGTTCATTGTGTTTCAGCATTGTCTTCTGACATCGAGGCGCAAGTACATTAATTAGGCTAAATAAAGAATTAATTGACGAAGCTTCTTCTACCACAGTAAATTCTGTTTTTACTGTTGATATTTGGTGCCAGTTTAATCAGGAAGTGACCATTTTTTTCTCTTTGACTCGTTGGATGGAATTTTATTCGCATCTTTTATGCAATATTCCAGTTTTGCACATAAATTTATGTAATATATTTGGATGGAAACATAGCTATTGCCTGCATTTTTGTCACAGACAGAAGAACTGTACTAGAATGGCTTATCCTTTTTTAATAAATAATTAAATTAAATTCATCTTCGACATGCATGTAACTAGATTAATGGGATTATTATTCTTTCTAAAAATTATTTTTTAGTACTGCTTACCTTCTAAATGTTATATTAACCTCTATCACTTGATCAATAAAAAAGGCAGACACAAGTGCACTGTTAAATCATTTAAAACTAATAAATGTATAAAAAAAGTTTAGAAAAAAATATAAACGTCACAAATTACATTACTTATTTTATTATACTTAAATATTTAAATACTTAAAAAGTGAAATTAGGCATTAACTTGAGCAGCTGTTTTCCCACGCTAACTGTCTCCTCTTCACTGATGGTTGCTTCTTTTCAAATATATACACTCATATTTGCTATAACTTTGCATGAGAACATCAAGTTCAGCTGGAGAAAGAAATGGTGATCTCTTTTATAACATATTGCCATAGTCACTCGTAATGCCTGCGCTCCATTGATAATGCCTTTTTAAAGTCACGGTGTGCGCGCTTAACTCTGAGTTGGTCTACTCGAAGTTGATTGACCCAACTCAGATCAGCTGTTCTGAAACCGAAAACTCTGAGTTTTTAATCTCTCGGTAAATCAACTCAGAGTTCAAGTTTGAACTCTGAGTTGTTTGAACCTCCTTACTGAAACAGGCCCCTGATTTATCTCTGGTATTATTCTCAAAGTATGTAATGAGGTTACAGAAGAACATTTGCAGAAAGTGTAATAAGTATGTCATGATGTTTACTAGACAAATGTAAGGGAAATCGTTGAATTTTGAGCAAAAAAAAAAAAAAAGACAGGACAAGCTATCATTCCAGTACACATCGCATAAGTCAGGTTTATTGACATTCAACATCAAATCCACCAAAACATACAATACTTATCTGATAATTTAGTTCATTATGCAGACAGGAATATGAAACGCTTCAATAGTAGTAGCACCACAAATGTTTCCAAAAACATTACAAATAACATCTACAGCATGGCACTGATGGTAGCGATGAGGGAGAGAGAATGACAGAAAGAAAGAGAACCGTGCGCTTACACCGTCCGAACACAATCATCAACACTGCTTTACAAAACCAGTGTATACAGCCATGTGCTATGGTGCTAAGTATGGAGAAGAAGACCTTAGGCCACTACAGTAAAATCTTGAACAACAATCCTACAGGACACGTTTTTTTTACTGCTAAACAGCCAACGTACTTACCTCTGCTAGAAATGTTCATCTTCAATCACAATCTTGCTGAATTAAGTTAAGTTTAAATAATGAGGCACAAAGCAAATAATAATTTAATCCGTAATTAGAGAAGAGGAAAAGTGTTAAATGTGGCGAAGGTCATGTCACGACTAAAACATGAGAACATTTACAGTCATTCAGAAGTCCAAATGTAAAAAAGCAAAAGAAAATACAAAATTTGAAGTGTTAACTTTCAGAAAATAACTGTAGGCACTGATTATCAAACTCTGGCACTTATAAAAGAGAGTTGAGGCAAAAAATCTGCATGACTGCAAAAGTCGGATAATCTATATTGATAGTTTTTAATGTGAGGAGGACACCATTTACAACCTTTACAAAGACAAATAACATGCCAATAAGAGTTCAAATAAAATAAGAACAACGCAGGCTCACCCGAATTTGTCTTTGGAATGTTCCTGATACTAAAATCGCATTATTATGTAAAACAGGGCAAAGAGGAGGCCGGTAAAACCCTAGTGTGTGTCCTTATTTGTGCTGCCCTCTTGCGAAGTGACAGGCAAAGTCATAACTGTTTCTGCACCTGTGCCCGCATATGTTACACTGAAAAGGGTTCTCATAGCCATGGCAGCCCATGTGAATGGTATAGAGGATGTTATCTGGGAAATATATGTGACAATGTGGGCAGTGATGGAGCATCTGGGGGTCCTGTACTGGAGTGGGCGTCCCTGGCTGGCTGTTGGTTCCGCTCGGAGTGCTGGTCCTCTCGCTGCAGGGTCCCACACCTGGACTGCAGCCGCTGTGTGCAGCTGGTCTGGGCTCTGGGGTGATGGGAGAAGAAGCTTGAGCTGTGTTGACCGAAACCGCAGCGGGCGCTGTTACAGGCTGCTGGACGAGGAATGTAGGTTTTTCATCAGGTAGCGATTCAGCTCCGGGAGACACAGGCGCACCTTCAGCTTCAGATGGGATGCTGGCTAACTGTCCGGCTAATGTTGAAAGCTGGTTCAGTGGGTTGTCTAATGCCATATCCTGGTCTTCTCTAGAACCACTTCCGATTGCTCCACCGATTGCTTGTGGATCCTTTCCTAGACCGTTATAAGCTTCCTGATGAAGGTGAGCGTGAGGAGGGAGGTCGTGAGTGAAGTCCCCCAGGTGGTGCTGCTCAGAGCTGGGCTTTTGCAAGACCATGGATGGCGGGCTGAGGTTGATGAGCAGTCGGCGGCCATAACCTAAAGAGTTTCCTCTCTTCTGCAGGACGCTGAGCATCTTCCGATGGGAAAGAGCAGAGCGGGCGCCCTTCATTGGGAGGAGTTTATGTCTACGACGACGGTGGTGGGAAAGGTTACTGCGATCGCTACAGCGGAAGGAGCACAGCTCACACTTGTAGGGTTTCTCACCTGTGTGAGAGCGCATGTGAGCCTCTAGATGGCGCTCGTAGGCCGAGGCGAAAGGACACAGGTGGCATCTGTGTGGTTTTTCACCTGGAAGAGGAGATGGAGAAGAGTTTATAAATAGTAAAGCTGACAAACAGACAAAATACAGTCTTTAAAACCACTCAGAGTGTAATAAAAGGGCTGGTTCACCCCAGAACTGAAAATTCTTTTTCATTTACTTGTTACAAACCAGTTTGACATCCTGTTGAATATTAAAAACATATATTGAAGAAAGCTGGAAACCTGTAACAAATTGACTTCCATAGTAGAAAAAAACAAATACCAAGGAAGTCAATGGTTACATGTTTTTAACTTTCTTCAAAATCTCTTCTTTAGTGTTTGACCGAATAATGAAACGCATAAAAGTTTTTAAACACTCGAGAGTAAATGTTGAGTAAATTAGTATTTTTGAGTTAACTATTCCTTTAAGGTTAAAGATCATTTACCTGTGTGTATGCGTATGTGTTCAATAAGTCGTGCAGTCCCCCTGGTGGCATAGTTGCAGTAGCGGCACTTGAGTTTTCCATCATATGTCCTCTCAAAGCCATCCACCAACATCCCTGAACTGTCCTCTAAGGACATGTCTACTGCTGGGTGCTCCAGGCCATTCTGAGCAAGTTCTTAAAGAGAAGTCAATAACAGAATACTTAAGACTAACATAAAGGACACCTAAGAGACAGTCTGCTTAAATCAGCATGCATATTTCTTTCTTAATTTTTTTTCTTTCATACAATAAAGGCACAATTTCTATAATTTAAAGTACTGGAAAAAATTAACATTATATTCTTTCATTATCAAAGTTACATTATCTTCCATCTGCCAATTTTCGTATGTTTTCAGAAAATTGGCCTTTTTACTTAAATGAAACTTTATAATGTTGTTCTTCACCCTGTGGCTGGATTTATGGTTTATGGGAAAAACACTTTCCAAAACCAGTGCTGCCGTAAACGCAGCTGAGCACTGATGCACTCTACTGCACACCCCATTTATGAAAAGTGCAAGCAAATCATACTGTTTATATTCATGGTGATATTTATATGAAAATATATTATTACTAAATCATAAACAGTGCTTCCAACACATAGATTTTACTTGGGTGGGCCACCGAGGTATTTTAACGGCCGCCCTAGTATATTTAATGACACATTTTTTTTTCTATAATTGACATGCTTTTACAGTTTTTTTTTGTATCCACCCAATATAACCAAATATCCACTATCAATTAAATAGTGGAAAATCTTCTCTCGTTTACCTGTTCAACACTCCTACATACAGTCTCACATACTTTGCAGATCCACAAAGATGCACGTTTTTGGGACTTAAAAATTCATCCGGCCCGTGTTTCTAAATCTCCTAAAATGTCTGGGATTCAACTTTTGCTTTCACTTTTTAAAGCTTGTAAGCATTTTTGCATTACTCTTTTAGCAAAGGCTACTTTCCGCTTGCTTCACAGATGACAGCAAGCACAGCCATGAGACCAAGAGAAAAAGTAAATGATAGATTCTTTAATCTAAACGATTCAGAAAAACTTTACTATATACTTGGAGAGGAAGAAATAACTGGTCTAAAGTGGCTGCAAAATATATGTACACCATTAGTCATGGTTATCGCATTTGCATTATTTAAATAATCTACACGTTTTAATCTTGTAACTATATAAATTTTTAGAGATATTGTTTGTTTTCATTTCTTTTTTGTCATTTATTTCTCATTTGCTGATTATTTCAAGTTAATATATTACATAGGCTATTTTATATACACATCTTAAACGCTTTGTCATTCAAGTTTGCTTTGAGCTTGAATAAGAAAGAGAAGATTTTACCCTGTCAGTGGCTGCATGTGGCTTCTGAATAGCATAAAGGTGTTAGAAATAGTGGATTTCTTTTTATTTCAACATTTTTTTTTACTTCAACCCATTAAAAAGAAACAGTATAAAACTGTCATAAAAATACAAATACTGTTAAAAATTCAATTATGTTTTGTTTGTTGCATATAGCTAACTATTTATGTCATTTGAGTAAATGGTCTGGTTTCAAACCTGTGGAAAGCACAAATAAAAAATAAAAAAAGTTTGTGTATATATTTCAGACAGACATAAATTACCTCCTTGCAGATCATCACTGTCTTTCACACCGATGACAGAGCCTGATATCATGTTGACATGTTGGGTCTGTTGGCTCAGGTACTCCTGAAAGTCCTTCACGAAATCCAGTGGTTCTGGCTTCTCCTCGCCCATTGAAGATCTAGAGTCTTCCACTGTGGTCAAACAGGCTGTAGCGTAAATAAAATATAACCAAACAGATGCATATACAAAAGAAAATCTTTGTAAAGCGACGCCCACATCAAACAACAACATTAGACTTTACAAGCATACTGTAAAGTGTGAATCCAATCGAACCCTTTACAATAACAGTCCCATGCCAGCAAATACAGTAAACAAAGCTGTAAAATCTTCAGCTCGTAAGTTCAAGCTGAACTTGTGGCAGTTGTAACAAACATTACTGAGTTGTATTAGTCTGACTGTTATTCAGTTGACAAGGTAACAGGCGTTGCTATAATAGCGAGTAACGTTGACGTCGCCAAGCTTTCCCAAGCATTATGCGATCATTTAACAACAATGAACAACAGTTACCTTTTCAAGGGTGTCAGCTGAATTAAAACCACACTCGGTTGCTGGATTTGTTGACTGACGAACCCCTTATTTAAGGAGTTTTTAGAAAAATCTGACCGAGAAAAGCTCCATGGTGATGCTGGACAGCTAACGTCAGCGAGTTAGCGCGACTGGATCAATTAAAACGGGATTTAAACGAGCTTTACATTTGAGCGGCAGCTGGACTGACGTCTTTTAAACATGCTCCTTTTGTCTTTTTGGACTGTGTCATTGGCGAATGAAGTGCAAAAACAATCTTTGGAGGGCCAAAATGATGCTCTGCGCCATCAAAACAAAAGAAAACGTAGGGGTGAAAGTTCAATCTGGCGGTGCGCCGCTAAAATGATTCCGTCTTCGTTCCGATGGTTGAATATTTAGTTCCTGTGTGTCAGTACTTTAAAGAGCGGGTTGAATTCAAGTAATCCAACCTAGTATCCCCATTCCCCAAATAAGTGAATATAAAAGTGAGTTATATACATTTTCTGTATTTTGACAGAAATTGTAAAATGTACAATTGTCAAAACGACAAACATTTTTTCTACCCCCTGATAAAAAAAAAAAAAAAACATGCGTTCTTTGGTAGTATTTAAACTAACTCACGTTATAAACTTATCTGATGCTCTATCAGTTTCCATCTTGCTAGTCTTGTAAATGACGCGGTCGACGAAAGGACAACGTTTTGATGAAAAAACAGCTGTACAAAAGGCTTGTATTTAAAGGTGGAGATTAGCTTGATGGTTTGTGTAGTTCTGTCGTGTCTGATAACATGACACAGTATACTGCTAAGAGATTACAAAGATGATTAGAAAAGCTCACTTTTAGTCACTCAATGAGCAACGACTAAGCCTTTGTTAAAATATTTTGTTTCCATCCTGTTACAAGGTATAATTTCATTCAGAAATTGCTAGCAAATTGCAACGTTTAGCTACAAAGAAGTGGCAAGTTGCATTTAACCATAATATCTTAAAGTAAAAAAATAGTTAGATAGAGAGTCAAATAGATTTATCTTGTAAATCATACATCAGTAGTCAGTTTTTTCCATTAAATGCTAATTTAAAAAAATCGAATCTATATAAGTCATCCTTTTATTTTTGTTTTGTTATTCTGCGTGGCCAGTAGGGGGCGCTCAACCTGCAGTCTGTGTGAGACGTAATGCCCCAGTGGGGCACTGAAGAGGACACTGTACTGTCAGTGAGCACCGTCTTTTGGATGAGACGTTTAACGGAGGTCCTGACTCTCTGTGGTTATTAAAAATCCAAAGACACTTCTCGTAAAGAGAAGGGGTGTAACCTCTGTTTCTGGCCAATTCTTTCCATTGGCCATTAACCATCATAATCATCCCCATGCACTGAATTGGCTCCATCACTGTCCCTATAGCTGGTGTGTGATGAGCGCACTGGTGCAGTTGTCCTGTGGCTGCCTTTGCATCATCCAGAGACCCCCCTCATGATTGTGAAGCACTTTGGATGTATGGTCATACACGATAAATGCGCTATATAAAAATATTACATTGGATAAATAATATAGAAATTCAAAATGATATTTTTTGCAAGACTCCTACATTTGAAATATTTCTTGAATTACAGCTTAACCATAAAAAATTGGTATTCATAACCACAGAGGTTCTGCATAACAGCAATGATCCATTTATTTTAAAAACCTTTTAGAATTCTGCATCAAGTGCATTGATGATTCATCGCCTTTTACCAGATTAGCTAAATACATGGATAATTTCCATATTCAAATGTCATGGGCAATTTGATGAGTACTTGAGCCAATTGCATTACTTTAAATAGCAGGATTGGCTCATTCATGTTTCATAGCGTTTAATATTTAACTAGAGGGGAAGTTAGCTGAAGATCGCATTGCCCCATTTGTGTCAGGGTTGTAGGAAAACCATTGAAGAGGGTGTGACAAACGACCAGTTAGAGCGAGAGCTCTGGATACTTATGACACTCTTCAGAGATGTAATGAGAGGCTTCTAGTGTAACATGCAGCAATTCATTGCCTGTGATCATGGTTCAGATGACCAGAGAACAAGCGCCCTGGCTCCCAGTGTTAACAAACAATCTACTGTATACATAGCCTTATTGTGTAGGTACAATAAAACAGTTGTTTTAGGTCACATTACAGCAATAAAGACTTCAATTTACCAAGCTATTATGTTACCTGACATATGGTTTATGTTGCACCCCAGCCCCAATTTCAGTTTGAGATTCTTTTGAAATCCATTAACATTCCTGATTCATGACATTGCATTTGTGTTACATAGTTCTTCAATCCAATGACATAATTTTCTTTGTGTAATTCTGTACTGTGCTGTTATTAGGGTTAAATCCAGTTCCATTTCACAATTTGGACACTAGATGGCGCAGGATGTCAAGTAGTGATTATTCATCATGGGAATAAGGTAGGCCTGCAGGTTCAATATCGAAATTTGCTTTCACTCTTCTTTACTCATTAAGGACAACAACATTGTCCATATTTTGTTGTTGCCTGTAAATAAGTAAACATTTAAGTGTGGTGGAGCACCTGATTTAAAATGCACATGGTATATAACATTATTGGATGAGAATTATAAAATCAAGTTTTGGCAGCTTCTGTACAGTATGTGGGTTTTCAAGTGAAAAGCGCAGCAAACTCATCCAAAGGAAAGCACGACAGCCTGACCTTGCAGGGTTGAACTACGACCCCTGAAGCAGTCAATTACAACACTTCCTAATAGCCTGTCCACACTAATGTTATTTTATAGCAATTTAATTATGCTCAGGTTTCCCGTGAAGCCACTTCCCCTTAAATAATTCAAGCAGGGTGACAGTAATTTGTCAGTTGAAAAAGATTAATTGGGGTTTCAAGTGGGCTTCTTTTCATGAAGCGTTATTGTTTTCAAAGCAGTGGTGCAACAGTGCTTGCGAAAAATAGTTGCCGTGATGATAGTTGGTTGTGTTGTGTTGGTTGTGTTATTCGGTCAACGTCAAATAACGCTTTTTAAATTGTCCAATTGAGTTAAAAAATACATGAAATACGTCTTCTTCTGATTTTCGTTCTGATTTGACTGCCACATGAAATTTTAGTAGGTCTCTGAAAATAACTGATAGTCGTTTGGTGTGCACTCAAACTGGCACAGACTTCATGACGTACATTCGCTCTCAAATGAGTGTCAGTTCAGTTTGTTTATGCGGCCCTTCTCGCTTTCGCTTTCTAATGCAGCATCTGCAGGGTGTCTGAAGCGGCTCCCTCTACACCTGCTCGGGGGTAAGTCAGACCAAGTTCCCCCGTTGCCCTAATTCACATTTAAAAGGCTTTGAATGAGCGGGCCCCCTTCTCTGCTCCAAAGCGCTTGATTTATGTGCTGTTTGTGGTTTTATAGAACGCGAAACAATTCATTTTCTCCTGAAAAGGAATTGGGTATTAATTTGGAGAAGGCCCCTGGGCACTTTTTTTAACACTCCAATCATATGCTGGAGTCATTTAAAGGCTGCCGTGGACATTAGCCCCCGAAGAAAGGCTTTTAATCCTGCCTGAAGAGCGCAGCTATAGAAACGGCTGCCCCAACGCCAAATCATTACTGCTAAAGGGTGAAGGAGGACCACGGCTGGATTTATTCTTCACGCCCCCAAGACTATTTATTTCTGGAGAGACCCTATCTTACACCCCCCACCTTTGTGCGACACGGGGCGTGTGTGGAAGCAGAGAAAGGAAAAGAAATAGGATAAAGGAAGTACATATTAAGCTTTTCATTTTCCTGCCACTTAATTTCCTCGCGGCCGCCTGTGTAATGAATGTAATTGCTACCTTTGATGAGAACACTATTATCTGAATCACACTTTAAATGGGCAAACAAGGCCCCCTCCATCCTCCCTCGCCCCCCTCTCACAAAGCGGGTATGAGATCTCTAATTATGTGACAGAACAAGTGGTTTTTCTCAAAGCCGTGGCGTTGCGCTCGATTGCCAAAGAGCAGCCCTGGTTACATTTGCACAAAGGCGCAGATTAGCGGCGATACGCGCGCCACACACAAAGATGGGCGTTTTTATCATTAATTTCCTGCGCAAACCAATGAATGTCTCCGCACAGGAAATTCTCATTTAGTCGAATGCCAGATCTCATTTTCTAAAAGTCTGCTACAATCGGGCTGACTGGAATATTGCGCCAAAATCGAATCAATAAGACGGCCTTATAATAAAAAGAATACCGCAATAAAAGCAGCGTAAACTTTATCTTCAGTTAGGGAAAAGGCCCGTGCAAACAAAATTGTATGTGTATAATTTATGGCTATATATATATATATATATATATATATATATATATATATATATATTTGTTCGTTTTTCAGCACGGACGGACTCATCACTGTATCTCCTTTTTATCATTTAGACAGAAAAAATTGTGAGTGCATGTGAGAAGAACGTTTTGATGACTCTATTTAAGCACTGCAGATTCAAAATAACATTTGTAATAATTTACTATATATTTTCATTATTCTTCATAGATTTCATTCACTTGTCACCAATAAGTATTGACAGTCATAAAAAGTATATTGAATTTAATAAATATTTGATTAGATCTGAATAATATACTCCAGATAAACATATTTCATATTTGCATGTAGTATTTAGCTATATGTTGACAATTTATTTTCACAAAGGTTATTATATTTGCTCGACACTAGTATGCATTTTGTGTTAAAAATAAATAATTGAAAATTTAGTCGAGATGATTTATACAGAAAAAATACATTTGGTTTGTTTATAAATAATACCGGGTTTTGTATAAATAGCTATTTTTACATTAGCCTATATGTATAAAATTGTTTACACTAGTTTTTTTATATATAATTTTTTTACTTTTTAAACAATAATGCTCAACATTCCTGTATATTTAATCAACTAATCTATCTGTCTATCTATCTATCTATCTATCTATCTATCTATCTATCTATCTATCTATCTATCTATCTATCTATCTATCTATCTATCTATCTGTCTGTCTGTCTGTCTGTCTGTCTGTCTGTCTGTCTGTCTGTCTGTCTGTCTGTCTGTCTGTCTGTCTGTCTGTCTATCCATATGCTCAGCATACTTGAATACACCTCATTTTGAAAATTATTATTTTATCAATTTCTTAGTGAATCTAGGCAATGTATTTTGGTGCAGTTAAACAAAACAGATTTATTAAACATATATATTTATTAAAATAATATGTTTGGTGACTAAAATATTTAAAAATTGAAGAATAATACAATTAAATTCAAGCAAAATATTGCAAAAGACATTACAACCTACAAAATTTTAACAAGGGCGACGCGGTGGCGCAGTCCTGTCGCCTCACAGAAAGAAGGTCGCTGGTTC